TGGTCTCCCGTTCCATACTGTGGCTGAAACAGGGCTGGCCAGCTGATGGCATGTCAGAGCCCATGCTCCACTTTAGTGTCCCTGGAAACGTGGTGACTCAGGTGTGGACATGTGTTGCCTGGGCCAAGTTGCCTCATTAAGGACCATGTTACAGCCCATGTAATTTTTAGGTATCTTATCATTTCAGTCTTGTTTTTGCAAAATCATTTTTGTAGCAGAATCCTCCCCAGTGACGTTCTTGGGGTTCATAGCAATGGGGTGAGGGTGCAGCACAAAACTAAGGGAAGGCACAGCTCCGTGAGCCTGTGACACAACTCACAAACACAAAACTGACTTGCTCATTGTTTTCCCTGTGGCATGGGTGCATAAACCACCCCTGGGAAAGCTGTGGGGACCACCATGCTGAGAATTCCATCTGAGGCAGTTCTGTCTGGGCTTGTGAGCAATTTCTGGCAAATCTGGATAAGTCCTAAACAGACTGGATTGGAAAATGTGCCCAAACCTTGGGAAACCTGTACAAAGCCCAAAGTAAAAATTCAAATGAGTTATTATACAAGGATTAATCGTCTATTAATAACATACAAGCCTGGCCATAAAAAGGAATGGAAACAAGTCAAATAGAATGGCACAGAAAAATACCTTACTAGAGACGTATCCAACATGGCAAGCACCAAGGGGTTCTTGTCATTCACCGCCAGGACCTCCCCCCAAAGTGATCACCCTTAGCAAATGGCCCTTTGCAGCTTCAGGTCCATCTGGGTGCAGAGGGCCAAAACCGTGCTAGCTGCAGCCTTTAGTTGCATTTCAGTCCCTCGGGCATGGTCTCCATCCATATGTGACTCACACAGACAGTTGCTTTGGCATCACATACTCCGTTCTCTCACTGTTCAGTCCCATAGTTGAAAACATCTGAGGAGACAGTCCCCAGCCTTGCTTGGAGAGACTGGAGGAGATGCATGGGTTATTGTGGAGAAACTGGAGATCATTCGCCTTCCAAGTAACTGTGGGATGCAAAGGGCTGGATCCTCCAGGACGGAGTGGCTGCTTTGCGTTGCACTGTCAGCATAACCTGTCTACAACCACAACCCAAGGAGTATTGCCCCAGTGCAAAGGGGACCTTGCCGTGACACAGAGCTAATGCCGCATGCCCTCTCTGGTCCTAAAATCTATGAATCAAGGTTCCCCTAAAATCTCTCAGCCAGAATTGCTGGCATGTGATTCAGATTGTTGGCTTAGCAAAGTGAGGTCCTATGCTCAACTCAGTGGCCTTTCTCTGCCTGCCTACTTGCCTGTCCACATGTAATGCAGTAACTTTTGGACACTGCATCTGATCAACTCCAAAATTTCAGGCATGTTCTAGGCATAGGTGCTGGAACTAGGGTGCTGCCGCACCCTCTGGCTTGAAGTGGTTTCCATTATATACAGGGTTTACAGTTTGGTTCAATGGCTCTCAGCACCCCCACTATATACATTGTTCCAGCACCTCTGGTTCTAGGAATCACTGCGCAGAACCTATTGATTGCAATAAAAAACAGAAAACCAGATCCCCCAGACAGAAAAAAATAAAATAAGCATTGAAGGAAGGGGGGCACAGTATGGGGGAGGGAACCTGGGGGACACACAGAGCCCCTGGTACCTGGAACACACACTGAGCTCTGGCATGGGGAGGAATGGGGGACCCAGGCATGAGGGGAGAGCGAATGGTGGGCATAGAACATGGCAGATGTGTGGGACAATGGTATGAGGGAGGGGACACACAAATAGGGTTACCATATTTTAAAAATAAAAAAAGAGGACCCTCCACGGGCCCTGGCCCTGCCCATTTCCCCACCCCCAGCCCCGCCCCAACTCCGCCCCTTCCTCCCTCCCACTCCCAGCCCCGGGGAAAGGGAAGGGCTGCCCGGCAAACCCTGAAGCCGGTAGCGCTGGGGCAGCCCTTTCCCCGTGGCTGGGAGTGGGAGGGAGGAGGGGGCGGAGTTAGGGTGGGGAAGGGGTGGGGCTGGGGTGGGGAAATGGGCGGGGCCAGGGCCCGTGGAGGGTCCTCTTTTTTTATTGAATAAATATGGTAACCCTATGTGACATTAAAAGAGCGAATTTGCATATTTTAAAACAATTTGTACATAACCA